GACTGCGGCTTGGTCACGATGAACCGATAGATGCTGAGCCACTTGAAGTTCGTGAACAGTGCACAACCGTACGAAGTGGGCCACCTCGCTATCCTGAGATGCAGCGGCATTTTCAATGAGAGTATGTCCGTGAAATGGTGGACGCAGAAGTTGTAGAGAGGAATAACCAGAGCCGGTGGACCTGTCGGTCCCTATGGACGACCAAACCTGGCACTGGCATATTTAGGACCGCGATTGATTACCAAATCGCGACCAGGACGGCGGTATCTATTGTTAATGCATCGACCGCTCTAGCAGTCGTATCTGAAGCGGAGCGAGAAGCCTACGTATTCGGAACGTTTGACTCCCACGAGCGATTCAAACGCGCCCAGAACGCTACCAGCTGTACAGCTTCGTGGCTGAGGACACGGTGCTCACACCGACCCGTGTACCCAAGGTGCTAGCGACTCTGCAGTCCATCTCCAGATGCCGTACTGATAAAATTTTTGTTCAGGAATATTCTCGTCTGAATAGATGACGTCCTACTCTTAGTTGATAAGCTCAAGATTTACTGAGTAATATTGAAGCAGTGGATTCTTCGGCACCACAAGTTGAATGCCCGAGCGTGCAAATTGATTGCCAGGCGTGTGAGGTGGTGTGGGAAAGTAGCTGACGGTGAAGGCATTGAGCATGACCCCGAACGCCTAGCTCCACTGCAAAGCATGTCTGGGCACCTACTTGAGCTGCACTTCAGCATTTCTCGTGTGCCTTAAACTGGCTACGCGATTCAATGGTTGACTGCGCTCGGACCACTGCACTTTTGCAGGAGAAGCTCGAGGGGGTGATGCAAGCCCGTGGTCACCGTAGGATGCAATTGTGGCGCCACATTTGAATGGACTGCAGAGGAGACTAAGGTGTACCGAGATACACCCAAAATGGTGGAAATTATGCAAACTTGTGTTTCGGGACAGAGGCGCCACATTGTGTAAGTTTCCTAAAGCCTCGCTCACGGGGTACGCTCTTGTCCTGTCGCAAGCGCTCAACTGGCAGGAGGATGTCCCGGTGGAGCAGCACCAGCAAGAATCACTAATTTGGTGTGGCGACCTCTACACAGGTACGAAGGAGGACTGGTCCGTAGTTGTGAATGAAATATATCTATTGTCAAGGCTTATGGAGACCCCGAATACAGTCTGCCTCGAGAAAAAGGTTTTCACGTATTCTACCATTCCAATCTGATCAAGATCTTTACTCCTAACCGTGAAGTGAAGCAGCACACGAAGGACAAACTGCAACGCTGGGCATTGCAACTTGTTGATTGCCGTTATACAACCCACCATATCACCGGGGAGAGTAACCTCTGAGCAGATGTCGAGGCGGGGGCAACCCGTGCTCCAATGGAAACTAAAACCCTGGTAATCGAGCGGGCGACCATCCGTTCGGCTCAGATACTGTCATGGCTAAATCCTCAGCAGGATGGCCAGTTCGTCTGGCCGGGACGCGACGA